GAAACGATCAAGTCGGCATCGAAACAAGTGCGGGGTTCGTGAACTGCCGGAGCGCAGGTGAGGTCGTGGGTTGTGAGTTTTCGAAGAAACGGGGATTACTCCTATCATTTTCAAAATTAGTACCATTATTTATATATCTACATGGTCAAACTTTAGGATGGAAATACTAGATGGCTTCAAATTTCACCCATGTTTTGAATTGAAGCCCCCAAAGCTGTGCATTACCGAGAACATAGACAGAGATCCAAACAGCGCCGGTCAACAAGCCAGAGCAGTGAGTCCGACTCTGTTGGTAGAATGACCGCCGAAAACCGCCGCGATCGTCCAAAAAAACACCGATGTTTCGAATTTTCTACAATTAAAAAAAATCGGGTTGGCGGAGTTCTCAAGACGTGTGATCAAACGTCGACTTTGGTTTTCTGCAACTAATTAAAAAGGTATATCGGGGTCCGAGGGAAGTGAGGAGCGCAGGGGGGGTCCTATGCTTTTCTTATGGGACCAAAACCCGCTGCCAGTTTGAAGAAATTAAATTCTATTGAAATTATTTGCGATAAACATTATCTATATAGCAAAGAAATCTACTCATATGCACATAGCATACATATTGACTAATTAACAACTTAAAAATATCATATTTAAGTAATTTCAAATTATATTTAATGATCGCATAAAGACTATGTAGATGTGGCAACAGCGCTAATAATTGACTAGCAGTTGTACACACTGCGAACCTACAGACCTCGGGTAAAGATGTGTACGCGTTCAAAAATGTATTGTGTGTAAACTATGTACAATATAATTATTATATATATCGTATTATCCTCGCGAAGATTTGTATCCTTTATTTAAAATCTGTAAATCATGTGAACAACGAGAATTATGTTAATTTAGTTCTAAAGAAATGAAATAACACTCGCGCCCATCTCTCGTCCAAGTCGAAGAAAATGTTGGATGCAATTTTGAAGGTTCTGTGATAGAAATGTCATTATTACTCACTGTTCGTGTTTTTAATCCCTACTTTAGTAATGTTACAAAAGTTTTGCAACTATAACAAATTTTTTAGATATAAAGTTTGCTGAGAAATATTTATGTTCCTTTGTTATTCCGTACAAATGCTTTTATCTCAAGTAATACTAATTATATTAATCAAGTAAAGAAAACTTTATGTAACCCTAAATATTGCTGGGTAATGATTACGATGTTTTTATAAACCATTAAATATATTAAAAGGATTTATCAACTGTATTTTTTATTCCAATAAATATATCACAGCTTCCTAGTCTTTTTTAATTAATCTAGTTTTTTAAAAACATTACAAAAAATCATTTGTTGTGGATAATTTATTGTTGATAACAATGGACATGGGATTTAGGAAAAATGTATACGTTTGAAATCAATTTCGTTTTTATCAAGTCTTTCAAATGTATTCCCTCCTTGCTGTCGGCTGATTGCGACGTTGCCACATTAATCCTCAAGTCAGACAGAAATGCAATTACTGGTTTCTGTTTCTAATTAATACAGCTGTACTATGTTCAAAACTTACATTAGTTTTACATCAAAAATAAGATAATACTGTGTACTATCTATGGAAAAGTTTTGTTTCACAATTTCTACATACATATTTTTCTCAGTTATGGGCAAAAAAAGAGCCGCGCACCGTCCATCTTCGCCATATAAACCTATGTTAAAATGAACAACTTTCAACAACATCTCAAAATCTAGATTCAAAATAAATTTCAAAAAAATATGACGCACAGAGGGTACTGGGTAACATGCTATATAAATTTCAAGTACATCTATGCATTTGAGTAAACTCGATACACCTCCTTAATTTCATTTCATTACATTGTATCATGTCCTCTTGCATGCAACTACATACATGGTGTATATTCAGGGATTATCTAGAAAACTTAAGAAATCATCTAAAACATTTGAAAACACATCCCAGTTTCCAAGAGTGTCATTCAAATCAGCATTACTCTTTTATCGAGCACTACTATTTGCTGAATTGTTATTGTTTCCACTTACGATACCTTATCGTATTAGTTGCGCAAGTAGCAGAATTTGTTTCTTCACCAACTTCTTCCCGTCGACAAACAAAAGGTCCATAAATAAATATCGCTCTTATTATATTCCACTTAAAAATTCATCAGGATCGAGATAAGACCGACGCAGACGATAAGGCTGATAGTAAACATCCATCCGACTAAATTATTAACATATTATAACTGTCACGGATATAAGGACAAGTATCTCAGGCGATAATTATTATTACGGTAGTGGATATCGGAGGTTTTTATTTATTGGTATTACCGTGTTATCTGGAGCCTGTTTTAAGCGAGGCAGACACTCTTACATTAGAAGGGCTGGTAATACAAAAGAACCTAACACTCGCGTTGATATCCATATACATTATTTCTCTCGACACTGCTTTTAAATAACGCAGACTGCACCGTACTGTCGTATCGTCGACGTAGAATTTCCCGTTCAATTAACTTCACGCTTATCCTCGTCCACACGTGCCATATTTCGCGTTAACCGCCTCCTCTACGGCGCGAGCAATGCACTCGCGAGGCATTTAATATAATATGTGATAGTGCCGTATCGGAACAGATGGTGTTAAACGAACCTATCCTCGAGCAAATGAAATTACAAGGTGCAAGGCACAATTACAGAGCTCCTTAAGCGGTTCCTACGCTACCGAAAAGATCGATATCGGCCCGATTGTTTCCCAAAGTGCATTGCATACTCGCACAACACACACGTAAGTGCATTAACTGCAGTCGCGCCGACCGGATGTCATTTTGCCGCCGCTGTGTAAATTGGAGGTGAGATGTAACAGTCGTGTAACAGTAGGTTGTCGGCTTAATATTGTCAGCAGGAATTGTGACTTAGAGTTTTTTTGTTTTAACATACAGGGTGTATATATGTAACGTTCACTCGATCAATAACCCAAATGGTGTGACGTTTGTATTACACTGGTGAATATTTGGCCAGGGAAGACACGCTTTTGAATGTTTCGACATGCACCATCAACATGATACAGCATTTGTTTACGTTTGACAAACATTTTTCAAGTGACAGTATCGTCTGGATTAACTTAATATAAACTCGCTTAAAAACTGGTTGTTTATTAAATAAACACCGATTTTTATGATTTCCGAAGATTTTTATATATTGTTTATTTGTTATTGTTTATTTAATCTTTCCTAAGTTATGAAAACCCGTATATGTCCTGTTTTTTAAAAGGTAGAACAAAGTTTACGTTGAAAGTTACAGATCTACCTATTACTATTTTACGTAGTCTTTGTAACCTGTTTGAAATTATTATCCTCGAAAATCAATACATACTGTTATATGCAAGCGTGAATATTTTGACATCAGTAAATCTCTTTCACACTTGTTGACATCATGTTTTCCCAATCCATCCAATTTTTACAATATATTTAATCAAACAGCAGGCGTGCCTCAGGGTTTGATACCTGGCCCACTGTATTTTTTTCTTTTCATAATGATATCGCGATTAATTTTAATGTCCATTTTTCGCTTTATGTTGATTAAACAATCCCTTTTAAGTGATTAGTTTTTATCGAGGGTGATAATAGGGCAGCAAAAATGCAGGATATTTCTTTGAAACATTACTTAACAATTTCAATATTTCATATTAATTATATTTACATACATTTATGGCCTAAATTAGAAAAATATTTTTTATTTGTTTGAACTAACTTTTACAATAGAGTAGAAATACTAGACCTGATAGAAGATAAAATAAATAGATATTTAGTTCTTTTTTTGGCAGGTATTAAAAGATATTTCTGCTCTCACAGTTGACATCGTCTATTTTCATTTTTTTTTAATTCCCTTTTTGTTTGTCAATATTTTCATTGCACTTCTGTTATTCATTGATAATTGTATATATGTATTATCTTAACATAATGAATTATTTGTATTTTGTTCTTTTTTTTATTACTGTTTCATTATTTATATATGCTTACTATTATTTTGTCCTGGTACCTCTAGTTTTTTTTAACATAATTCGTAACTTTGTTCGTATTTTTTTCATTGTTTTTATTGTAATTTCATTGATATAAGTAGGCTTAGTGCGGCGCGGAGTTTAACAGGACCATAGTCAGATTAAGAATGAAAATATCGTATCGTATATATTTTTTTGTACATCATCCATTATATCAAATTGTTCATTTAGGATTATAGGCTATCGATTATATCCAAAAAACAGGGTTAAAAGTAACTATGAACTATGACGTTCAAGCAATTTTATTGCATGAATCGTTCAAAGGGTCATTTTAGATGAAAAAACCGCGGAGTGCTATTAAATTAGAGGGTGAAAATTGGAGATAGGGGTGAAAATGCATCCCTTTCAGTTTTTTAATTGTAGCTCGAAAACGAAGCAAAATTTCGCTATAGTTCATAGGAAAAATTATTTAGAGAATTGAATTTCCCATCGAAATAGCTTATTTAAAAAATTTAAAAGGAAAATTTTATGCAAAAAAATCGTTAATAAACAATGTGAAAAAAAGCAAAAAATTCAATAATAAACAATTTTAAAGAAAACAAAAAATAAGATCTTTTGATTTTTTTTACTTTTTTAATAAAATAATTTAGTAACAACTTGATAATTTAAGTACAATAAAGTTTATTAATAATGTATATAACACTTTTATAAAACAAATCGTATTGCTTAGCATTTGTTCATCCTGTCCTTTCTGTTGGACGAAATAAATTGAATAAATATGTAAATAAGCGAAAAATAAATCAATCAGGTACTTTTTACATACTTCCAATTTGTCCACGAAAAAATTACTTGTTATCCACGTATAAATTTTCACACATTTTCGTTTCCGATTAGTCGAACGATAGACTGTAAATTTTTCCTAAATTGGCTTTATGGAATTTCCCGGAGATTTCGTAAATTTCCATATCCCGGCGCGCCGGCTTATCCCGGATTATGCAAAAATTAGTCGGCAAAAAGCACTCACCATGAAACAATCGGGTCCCTGTAGACACATCGACTCCCCGTTCGGTCCGTCATTGGAGAACTGGAAAAGAGAGGAAATTAAATATTAATATCCCAGATCCAGGCAAGATTAAAAACTTCATTAAAATTTGCATCTCAATAACATCGCCGGGGTGATGCCGTAGCGCACAATGCAGGCCGCCGGGCGTTCGGCCCGCTTGTCAGCGCTTTAGCCGACATGCACGGTCCTGAAATCGACTGCACAGTTTCATACGCGGAATTGTTTTTATTTCCGACGCGAAATCCCGCGCTGCGGGAATATGCCTTCCGGTGCGATCTCATAATCGGCTGCACTGCAGCATCGTAAAGGCAGGGTTTTTGATAATCTTTAATAAAAAGGTATGCTTTACGTACAAACAAATAGTTAATTCTCTGAAATGCAGAATAATAATAAACCGACCCCTCCCCTTGCCCACAGTTTTTGAAACTAGAACATCCTGAAACATATACAGGCCGTTCATTCCGAAGAACATCGGCAACGTAACTCCCCGCACAAGTTTTTAATGTCTGATAAGAAATATGTGGTGCATGCAAAAAAAATATATCTGCACCAGTATTATTCGCTTCATAGGCATATTTAATTAGGAGCAAATAAATAGTAAAAAAAAGTCGGCAAATATCAGCGGGCACATTTAATTTCTACCATCAAAGGATGTCCCAGGATATGTGGGCAATCTCTCAGATTTATACAGGGTACGTTAAAATAACATGACAAATTCCCATAAAAATTTTCCCCCTAAAATACTTTAATGTGTGTAATTTAATTATTTTTTAATACAATGGACAACAGATAAGGCTCCTTAAAAATTGACCCATGTAAACTTTGGCCTATTTGGTTTGCCAGGGTCGTACTAGTTGTAGCACAATAATGCCAATTTTTTACGCCCTTCACAATAAAGACACTTTTGGATGTAATATGCATAACAGTATTATTTTTTAATATTAAATAACATATTATATTTTAAAACAGGTGCATATCTTGAAAATATAAGTCGAGGAGAAATAAAGGAGTCCTCATAAGCCCCTTTATTATAACGCTAACAACCGCGTTTTTGCAGTTGAAAATATGCTATTTCTAATAAATAAATGCAAAAAACTCGTAAACAAATAGATATTTTTTTACCAAATTTTCAGGGATTCTTAAGCGCAACAAAATACAACTTTTACTGTACTTTAGAGACGATTTATCTTTTCTTCTATTTATAGTAAATTAAAATTTCATTGGTTTTTTGCAATTATTTAAACAAATTGTTAATGGATTTTAATTTAGCAGGTCTCAAATGAAGCGTTTTTTGAAAACCTATAAGTATAAACAAAAGCAAAAACTCCATTATTGGTAATTTTTACATTATAATCATTGTTTAAACAAACATCTTGTTGTTTTAGACCTTTTTGGGAAATATTGTTTCTTTTTGCCTAAACTAACGATTAAACCAAGTTTCAATCTGAAACGAATTTTTTTACAATTTTTTTTTTTTTTTTCATTTACTGGGCTAAAATGCATGTCGGCATATTCAGCAAACGTAAATTCCATTATGGTAAATAAAATAAATTCGAGGAATAAAAAACGGTAAGGAAAATTCACAAGTTTCTATCGTTAATTGAGAGACTCAAATAGGTACTGTATTTAAATAATAAATGTCAAAAAAAGGCAAAAACAAGTATTATTTACAATGTGGCATTTTTTAGATGGGTACAGAAATAATGCAAATTTCATCGGTTTATTTCTCTTTACGGATGTAATAAAAATCAAATTAAACAAAAATTGTTTTTTTCTCGAAAACAGTTCATTTTATCGATATCAACCAAGAGTACTTTTTTTAGTTTAAGGTTCAACCTATCCAGAAATATTATTTTAAAAAAATTGACATTATTATGCTAGAAGCTAATCCGTCCCTGGCAAACCAGATAAGCCAAATTGTTTTCATGGGTCAATTTTTAAGGAGTCTTATCTGTATCAAAAAATAATTAAATTTCACAAAGTATGTTAAATGTTATTAAAAAAATCGATTTTCAGGGGCATCTTTTAGGGGCTTGTAGCTCCGTAGGGGGCCCTCTAGGGAAAATTTTTATAAGAATTTGTCATGTTATTTTAACGTCCCCTGTATAAATCCGATTACCACATTTTCTGGGGCACCCTGTATAATTCAGCACAATCCTCGTGGACCCATTGAAATATTATTCATAGATAAAAAAATTTGTAAATTTCGTAGTACTGCGGTTGCTGTTGTTGACAAGACTTTCGATATGAAGCAAAACAACAACAAAAGCTTGCTGGTAACGATAACAACCCTTAAAACTTCCCCTCCTCCCCCGGGAAGTACATTACACCTTCGCTTTCGTTCGGCGGCCATCTGGCCGAAGATTAAAATTTATAGGCCATTCCGGCTGACCCCGGGGCTAAGCCGGACCTTAATAAGGACCAGCGGTGATAGCGCGAGTTAATAAAGCGCAGTTAAAAACCCATAAATATCCCTCTAGCGGAAGGGTGTATAATTACATCCCATACGTGGTCCTAATCAGATGATGCCGCGCCCGAGGGAGGTGGATTATCCCGATAGCGATCCAAATGGCGTACCGGATTCCTGATTACACCTAGAATTCGGAATCCGGGCTTCCTAAGCTGGCTTACACTGGCTTAGAACCGGGGTAGGGATTGTTTTGTTCCGCTAACGCCGTCCGTAATGCGACACAAACAAGGACTCTCACGTATCCGAGAAATGCTCCCGGTAGGAATAAAGGCCAACGCGGAATCTGAATGCCGAGGCCGCGGAAAAGTGCCGGATCGATTGCTTCCAAGTCGAGACAATCGCGGATTCTTTTTACCTGGCGGGGCGGGAGTATTGGGCGCTCGAAGTATTACACCGGATTTGCTTTTGGTGCGGGATCGGGGTTGTATGAACACAAGGAATCACTGCGATTGTGTCCTAACAGACCGCCAGTCCTCGAGCTTATTGAATCTACTTTTATTTTTCGTAGTATACGGGGTGTCCCAATAATTACAAATCTAGGAGACTTTGGAAATGCTTCGAGATAAAAATTCAGCCAAATACTGAACATAATTTTATGCAGGACCTACACTATAAATGAATAGGTGCGAGTGAAAGCTATAAAAGTTCGTAGTGAAATTATTGAGTACATTTTCACTCAATATTAATATCATTTTGATCAATTTACTCATTTGTGATTATATTTAAACTAAAAGTGAGTACTTTCACTCAAATATAGGTACTCCCTAAATAAATTCTTCACGTAAACTCGTATTTGATGCACTTGTACCTAAATCAGAGTAATTGTCCTCGTAACTGAGCGAGTTTAAATGTATATTAATTTCGAATAATTTGAATGGCGCCGTGAAGATGGCACCACTTACATATTGCTTCTGTAATCTCAACCGCAGTTGATAAGGTTAGATGCGCCAGAAAAGCGTGAGCGCGAGGAGAACAGGCCTCAGCCGGCTGGGGGCGGCGGTCTCAGCTGGCGGGTCTCAGCCAGGACAGGAGGTGGCCCCCGCGAAGAAAATTAATTTCAACACTGTATATCCTAATTAATCATTTATGAGCGATTTATTTTTGCACTAAAAAACCTGTCTGAATATAAAATGACTCAATAATCGTTAAATTTAAATCATATTAGAGAAAACGTCAACTCTAATTGGTTTTATGTACTCAAATAGAGTCAAAAGTCGCTTCACTGATAGTTAGCAGTAACTCGAATTTGAGTAAAACTCATTTATATCTGATGCAATAGTTTCACTCGGATGTACTCATACTAACAGAGTGAAAATTTCACTCAATGGGGTGTGGACAGAAATTGATACATTATTGAGTAAAATTGAGTGAAATTTGAGTGAATTTTTTTACAGTGTATGTTTTCTCAATTTTCAGCCCATAAACGAACTATTATTTGCCAACTGTAATTATCAAAGTCATTAATTAGCCAAATTTTCTTCATCATTTCTAATGCATACCAGATTTTTAAACTGAAACAAAAAATTAAATATTTTGCCAGTATCAAAAAATATTTCATTATAAATTAATGAAATTCGAGTGCCCAGAGTTTTAATAAAAGAATCTCTATAAATTGCTTCTAAAAAAATGGCAACCGACCATCAGTTGAAATTTTCAGTTACACACAGCGGAATACTACACAAACTTAACATAAAAGTTAGGTAACGTAATAAAAATACCCAGTACGGCACCCGTAAGAGTCGGAAGAGTTGGAACTGAGGGTACAGCTCGAGACAATTTGGATGGTTTTCAGATGAAATAAAGTCAACTGATAGCACGCAACGCAAAACATGTAATATTCCTTCAACTTCTCTTTGTTTATAAAAAATCCGTAAACGGTCGCAAACATCGCGCAATAAACGCGGGAATAAATTATTCAATTACGCTGTACCCTGATAAATGGGCGCATTCTGCGCTGTTACAGTACAATACCAGGTAATAGTAGTGAATAAATTGCACAACTGCATAACTACCATATGTATGTACTTGGGAATCTCTGAACACAACCGAACGTGACACCGGTTTTTTAGACCCTCGGTATAATTACGAAGCAGGAGAACAATGCGATGGTTAGAAGAGAAAGGTACTTAGTAATACTTAGATTGTAAGGCCTAAACGTTTAGCGCTTGACATCACTTCAACGATAACAAATATTTGCTCGATGCAGCAATATTTTTGTACTAAAAATTAAAAAAAAAATGGATATAAAATGTGTCTCATGGTTAAAGTGTATACTATAGATTTAGTTACGTACAAAAAAACTGTATAATGTTTATGTTTTCACAGGTATTGTTTTTAAGCGGAATTGGCAGTCACGAATTTTGTGCAGCACTGTGTTCAGTTTGTGAATCTGAGTGTCAATGACTTCTGATTCTGACCTAGATTAGGTATAGTTGTTACGATCTCAACTGGAACCGCATAAAAACATTTAAGTCGTAAATTCTACGGAATCTATAGACGTCCAGAAAAATTTTGCCCTGTCTCGTCTAGATATACTATATTCCGAGCTATA